ATACTGCAAACAAGTACTCTTAGCTGAAGTATAAAAGGGGATATAGTGAAACAAAACAAGGAAGCAAACATACTAAATGGAGAAATTTCGTTCATATTGTAATAAAAACAGCCTGTATACGTACTTGCCTCGTTTATGAACTTACCCCACTTCACTTAAGTAGAAATTACAAGTACAGGGTGAATCACAAATGGTATCCCATAGAAATGACTGAGTTACTAGCAGCTCTATCAAATATGTTTTTATTAGCTTTTGCACGGTTTTGGAAGAGGTATAACGTGACTTTGAAGAATTATTCCTCAAATCCTTCTTTTATGTTTTTTTAAGGACGCCTCGAATTTTTTTCCTCGAAAACATATCATTTCTTCACACCTATCTCTTAGAGTATTTCAAGACAAATCCGGTGGACATCGAGACATAGTTTTTTCATCTGGTTTGAGAAAAAATTAAAAAACTTTATATTACAAGTATCATATGCTACGCCATTGTAACGCATTGTTGTTGACAAAATTGAAATTATAATACTCAGATTGGAATATTTGAATATTCAGATTTTCACAATGTAAAATGGCTAAAATTGAAGGTAAATTGCCTGGGGTAGTTTTATACCCCAGAGTGACCGTTAATGGTTAATGTATGGAACAGAGTAATAACATAATTTTCAATATCGATGTATTTTGCAATATTTGCAAGATTTTAAAAGCAATATTTTAAATGCGGTACAGGGAATGGTTAGTGGTAATAGAAACAGGATCTCACCACTTGTTTTTGGAAAAACTTGGGAATTTACTCCTTGCACGTAAAGAACAAGTAAAAATTAGGACAATGGTTAGGTCCTTTCTAACCCTCCTTTACTCTTGTCCTTAATTGAAGGAAACATAGGTTGCACGGGATCGTACAATCGAGTGCACTTGTCCTCGATTTTTTGGGATCAGATAATGAAAACCTTAAAAATTTTTAATTTACAAATTTTTATTCTCCCATATTCATAGGTTTCCAAATACGTAAATTTCTAAACCGTGAAATCCGCAACATTCTAAACTGTCAAATTTCTATAATTTTAAAATTAAAGAATTGTTAAAGTTTCAAATTTTTTAATTTCTAAATTATCAAATTTCTGAATCTTTAGAACACTAAATTTGATATGTTTTCAAATTTCTAAATTACCAGAATCCTAAATTTGATATATTCTCAATAAATTTACATTCTCAAAATTCAAATTTTCCAGTATTCTAAATTTAATATTCCAAAGTTTCTAAGCTTCCACATTTCAAACTCTTAAATTTTCAAATTATTGAATTTCTAAATTTCTAAATCAGTAATTTTCCAAATTTCTAAAACACCGATTTCTCAAATGTCCAAATTCTAAATTACCAAATTTTCAAATCTCTAAATTCTCAAATCACGATATTTCAAAATCCTCAAGTACCTAAATTCCTAAATCCACAAATTTCCAAATCCTGGAATCTCCAAATCCCCAAATCCCCAAATCCCCAAATCCCCAAATCCTCAAATCCCTAAATCCCCAAATCTCCAAATCTCCAAATCCCCAAATCCCCAAATCCCCCAATCCTCAAATCCTCACATCTTCAAATTGGTTAAAATTATTATCTGAAAATAAAGTCAAATTTGTAAATTTATATACAAAATTATTTCTTCCAAAAAATTGTATATATAAGTACGTAAATAAATTAGGAACAATTTCTCCAGTTGTTTAAAATCATTGTTTGCAAATAATTGGTATCATATATCGATAATAATGTAACTATTGCACAGTTCAATTTATTCAGAAATCTGACTTGGACCACTTTCATAATCACCAGCATACATACTGTTACCAATAGTTAGTAATAAACATTCAGTAACTAACTATTAGTAACAAAATTTTGTTAACAGTAGTTTCATAATTTTGTATCTAATATTTATTTAATAGATTTGGAATAATGTAGTCATAAATTCAATAAATTAATAAGTTGACATGGTCCTGTTTACAATTTATTATGTTTGAAGCTACAAAATGTGAGCCGATGAAAAAATACTCCTAACGTTTTACCATTAGGTAACTAGCTATGTCGAGGATTGAAGACTGATATTGATGCGAGTTGTGGTAATACCCGTGTTCATATTACGGATCACTGAGCAGCTAACTGATGTTTTGAGTTCATCAACTAACCAATCAAAAATGTTGGTTAGCTGCACCGTAATCGGGAACGTGGATGTATGTACCATGTAACGAGCTGTATGTACTATGTAACGAGCGCATATTACAACGCACATCAATATTATAGTGAAGCCTCAATATAAATTAATGTTTCAAATCTGAATTGTCGTTTATATTGCGTAGTTTCTGCATTAATTGAAATTTGTCGAACGTAGAAAAGGACAGCGAGTGAAGGAATTATCGAGTATAAACATAGTAACATATCGGTGGTACAATCCTAACACAAGAATAAAACTTTCTTATTTTTTTTTTTATAATACTTGTACTAATATATTTGTAATATTTCTCTGATTAAAATGAGACCATACACGACTTAATATAGAATGTATTTACTTACAATTCTAGGCTTTTCGTTTATATCGAGGATTTTATTCTAGTAAATTATTTCAAGTAAATATGCTCCGAATTAGGTAGTGTTTGGTGTCATTTTGATTGGGAAAATATTACAAATATTTTAGTAAAAGTTGCGTAAAAAAGAACAGAAAATAAAAAAGTTTGCACTACATTGGCATTCAAAGTAATGGAACAGATTTTTGATCTTTGTCAAAAGTGCCACAGTTGCGAGTCTCTTTCTTTTCTATTCGCTGTTTTCCTGTGCTTTAGAAACTATTATCATCTATAAAACTAGTAAATATAGTCAAAATTATAGTGCGTTTGGTTTCGTTGTTATCAGAAAAATGTCAAAAGTCTATTAGTAAAAGTTTGTACTAGCATTGTCTTCCCCTTAATGGTGGAAATAATTTTTTCGCTTATATATTGCATATATTCGCCTACATCAAGTTGCATATTGATCTAAAGTCTTTCATTAAATAACGTTTATGAAACTTTTAGAAAATTTTCCTACTGGACACTAATTACACCCTGAAGCTTCAAACACTATGATATTCTGAAATAATATTTTGACATGCGCCATTATTTTGTTCAAGAGCATAATTTAAGGAAAATTTGATTTCAATACAAGGAGTTCATTTATCACCCATTATCACTGTTTATACTCTCGTAGTGAAGCAGTTAATCAATCATGATTATCCTTAATTTTGTAAAATATTACAGTCTGATACACGATAGCCTAATGACACTACTTTTTACTTGATAACAAAAATTCTAACAAGAAGACGTCAAGTACCTAACTTTTTACAAGTTTTAATGAGCTTCTGCAAATTATCCCGTTACGAAGCTCTTCATATAAAGTTTCAGATGTTATTGTAAAAATGCTAAAACAATGTCAGTTTTATGACCGATTTAAAAGAAGGTGTTTCTGTTTTGTAAATAATGGATGAACGTTCATCTGTCACAAATTGTAGCAAAAACAGTGCTTGACCACGCCCTTTAATGTCGCGACATGTCTGTAACTGCAGCGAACAAATTTTCTTCCTGAAAAAGATATTCTTGGAAGACGAAAATTCACAGAAGATTAAAGAAATCAGATTCGACAAATTAGTCGAACTGAAAGAACCTGGATTATCGGAATTCAGGTAATCGATCAAGTGCAGCAGACAAGTCAGCAAATTCGTAATCCAAACGAATTTTACGATTTTGCCACTTCTAGAGAATCGAAATCTAATGCTTTAAGACCTCAATTTATTACTTTATTTATTAGCAGACTTTTCAGGACATAATATGTCCTTTATAGGCCCTAATTTATTTTTTATAGGACATAATTTATTATTTTTTACAGAATTTGTAAAGAAACAAGAACGTAATTTGTTGTTTTTTATAGGCTATTATTATATTTGTCAGGACACCAAATATGAAATACTGGATTTTTTAGAAAAGAATAAAAATTGTTTCTGTACCTAAATTAAACAAATATTTTATTTGTCAAAATAGGTTATGTCTAATTAAGCAATTAGGTCGATAAATTAAATTTTTGTTAGATTATAAAAAACGATGCTAATTCGTCCTTAAATAATCTAATATTTCTCATGCGACCTAATATTTCAAGTTTTAGTAGAATCAGTTGTTGGTGATGGTGACAGTCAACGTTTTATGAGCTTAACTCATCTTTAATCTAGCAGCGCATATGTTAATAAACCTATAAATTATTGCAGACTTCTGATAAATATCTGCGTGGAACACTCATGAACGTAAAAGATCAAATCTACTGATTTACATAACAGTAACAATGCTTCAACATCTAACTGACGTATAATGCACGTTCAATTTTAAAAGGGAAACGAAATAAAAAGTACATAAATCAAACACATAAAACAACATTAATATCTTTATAAAGATAATCAAATGTTAAAAGAAAATCCCATGAACTGGGATTTAAAACAAGGAACTTGAGGACCTTTCGACCATCATAACAGTAGTTACATTAAAAGAAAAATAGAAGACTAACATAAGGCATTTCAAAGATTCGTTAGATTTCCACATATGTACTGCTACATTAAGACCGTTTAACTCGACCACCTACAACTTTCCTACTAATCACCTGCTCTGTCATCTACTAATCAATTGTTTCCGCTAATCAAATCACTTAAATCAATCTCCCCCAGGACCTATAAATTCCCTCGTTTAAAATTCACGGACTCCTCTACTCCGTCATAAAACTTCTAAAACCTCAGAATCGCAACGACACGCCGTCATTCCATTCTCTCTCAAGTCTCCAAGTATCGATGGGTGAGATCTAGCTAGATGTGGCTGCCGGCCTGGCGATCACGCCATCTGTCCGTCGAGCAACCGAACTAGAAGAACACGCGGGAACAGGGAAGAACAGAAGCAAGAAGTGTGTACAGACAAGGTGTGTGACGTTAGAGACGTTATTATCACTCACTCGGCGTTGGTTTCCGGGGTGGGCAGATCGCCGATGGTGGTCAGGGTGAGTGTGGACCAGTACAGCGATCCTAGGTACTTTCTGGTCAGGGTTGCGTACTCTCCAGGTCGATACGGGTAGACCCAGTCCCCTTGAAATCCTTCGGCTTCGCTGAGCAAGTAGTAAAAGCAGCCGAACCAGTGCGCCAGGATCAGCAGTATGTGGATGAGGTTCAACACACGCCACAAATTCGGATAAACTGTCCGCGATTCGACCATGTAATAGTAATTGTACACTCGGTAGATCTTGAGGAACCTCGGAAAACGGAGCATGGGGTTGCTGCCTAGGTTCACTTGCAGCAGATCGAGCGGCAACAACGCGAGCAGATCGAGCACGAACGACTTCGATTTCAGATAATGGCCGGCCAGTTTCTTGCTGTTGTAGACCATCAGACCTTGCTCGAGGTATCCGGTACGGAATTGCACCGCCACGTCCAGGAAGAACACCAAATCCGTGAAGCCGTCGCACGCGAGCCAACTAGCCGGCGCCAGCGCCTGCAGTTCCGGCAGACTTTGTCGTACGATCAGCGTCCACAAATTGTACAGCACGCAAGCGGACAGAAGCATCAGCCAGTAATAGTAGAAATTTTCGTCAGGATTCACCACGGTCTTCGGTGGCTTTTGGGGTCTTCTCGGCCGACGTCGACGACGACCGTTCGAGTCCTTGTCGTCTATGGCGTCGCCCTCGCCCTCCGCTGTGTCCAGCGTCTCCTGGCTCTCCGGGATCTGTCTGGTCGAGAAACGCTTCAGGAACGAGTCTTCGCGTTTCAACGGAGGCTTCTTCTGCATCGTCGACGTCATCTGCACCGTGGTGCGTAGCTTCATCCAACATTGGTTGCTCTTCGTTCTGCGAACAGAAAGAGGAATAGATCGCCAGTGAAGGACGGAGTGAACGGTGCTCGATCAATGCCCTTGCGGGAACCAGGTCGACTCTAAGTTCAGAACGATTCTGGGTCGAACAGATTATAAAGCTCGTATTTACGGACGTTCGACGCTTTACGGACCAGTTACTTTTTGGATAACGGTAACTTTGTTGGGAGTCTAACTCTCTTAGCGATCATCATTTTTGGACATTGCTCTTGTGAGATTTGCGGAAAAGTTCTGCTACTTACGTGACAAGAAATGTGCAGTTTCTTTTTGTGACTAGTTGAGTGTTATATGGTAAGAGGAAATATTTGACAGATTTTTTTAGTAGAGGTTATGGAAGTATTAAAATGGTGAAAAATGTATTAATGTATCTTGTAAATCGTTTGATATAATATAAGAAAATAATAAGAAATGATGTAAGAAAATTGTAAATTCATAAGTTGTTTTAATTCGATATTTATTGACAACTTCTGTCGAAGTTAATTTGGAATAAAATTTGTTAAAACGTAATTGTAAAAACTTTGTAAAAATTGGAAAGTGAAATTTAGAGATTAGAAATTGTTCTTTGTAAATAATCGTTCAATTGCATGAAAATATATGTTCTAATATCGTATGTCAAGACTAAAAATATGAATGAAATAGAATTTTTAATTTCATTTCATTGTAATAAAAATTATTGATAATTATAAAAAAACTGTATTTGTAATTTGCACTCGATGACTATTAGTTAAGTTGTAAGTATAAATATTTTTATCGACTTTTTGAGATCATCGGTAATTATTTTAGAAACACAAAAATATAAAAATTTATAAACACATCTATCATATAAGTAAGATATTTCTGCATCAAAGGTTTAAATGAAAATAAAGGAACTTTGAGAATGTGTAATTTAAATTTTGTAAATGTCGAAACAGAAAGGGGAAGAATAATTAAATTATTGTGGATAGTAATTAAAATTATGCCGTGTTTCCGCTTATTGCCAGAAATGAACAGAACTTTTCAGCAAATACAAGAGCAGAACGTATATGAAAACAAGTCCCCTTATTAATAATCACGTGCATCCAAATTACGTTTAAAAAACGAGAAACGACAATATAGTGAAGTAAAAGTATGAAATAGAAAATTGTTTATATCTGAGAATCAACACTGGAACTTGCATATTCCATTTCAAACATTTGAAAGAACGGTTACGTAAAGAAAGAGTTCACAGCGTTCCTTAAACATGATAAATTTCGGTTGAAAGGAAGAAATACGAGTAAAGAAACAATAAATTCTGCAGCGTTTTGGAACTCAAAGACGCACGTAATACACGTACAATCCCCAGGGATTGCGCAAACGCTCGATATTCACCATTCAGGTAAATAGCGATTGTGTGTTGACCGAATTTCCGGTTATCGATGTTTATGTTGCGATCGAAGATCCGGTAATTTTGAATCCTCACGCTCTGCGAAATATCAGATCATACCATAGGTAATGCGCGTGTAACGAGAATTCGACACTGAACCAATAAAATATTTCGTACACAGCTACCTATTAGTGTAACAAGCTTATAAATCTACGAGTAGAAATTTCCGTGTCAGTTACAATTATTTCGGGCAATTGTAACTATTGTGTAATGGCACCTATGAAACACTAATATTTCGGTAAATAAGTGACGATCGGTGATTATATTTTGTTGTTAAAAGATATAATTTTATTCGAGATTTAGTTGAAAATGTGTTGTTACGTGCGATTGTGTGATTCATAGCCAATATGTAAGGCAAATTAAACAATTACATTTTGCAAGGCAAAGGTAATTCAATATTTCTAGTGGCAAGTTACATATTTAATTTTTTCGAAAAACTTCAATTTTTACATGGTTTACAGTTGAGACATGAATATTTATTAATTTTGTTAAAAAGAAATATTTCTATTTTTAGGTTAGGTGCAAATATTAGATATTCTCTTTAAAATCATGTCAGTTTAATATTGAAATTTATTACATATAAAAGTTGTCTCCTTACGAAAAATATTGCAATAGGTACGAAATGACCAATATTATTAAAAGATATTAATTATTAAAAGGAAAAATATGTCCTATAATAAAAATTCTTTGTTTGTTTCGTGAAAAAGTTTCTTTACTCAAAACATACTTTTGAATATTTAATTTTACAAAGTAGTGCAATAAAAAGATTATAAATATTCATTTACTTCTTCAAATTATATTACATACTTATTTAATAATAAAATACCATACATTACAATTCTCAATTTCACAAAATTATTTACTGCAAAGATTCTATATAATGTTATATATTTAAAATTATATTACTTTTATCATTATGAACAATTTCCATTAATATACAAAATTCTTTAAAATTGTGAATTAACTGTTACTTCATCTACAAAATTTGATGTCTGATAATTTCATCCTATACTATACATATTTCTCCATTTACTACAAAAAAGATTCGTGTTGTAATGGATTAATAATTCACTGTAGTAGAATCCAATTATCATTACCACTAATTTGTTTGAAAATTTGAAATCCGTGTTTCAAATATGTAGCATATCATAATAGTGTGTACTGCATTAGTTAGTCCGAGTAAGCCATTTTGTTTTCATGCGATTACTTATGACATGATCCGATACAACGCTGCGCAACGTAATTCAAACGTGTTGAAATTGAATTTATGAACGTTTGATGCATCAAATATTGATACTGCAGAGATATTGCAAACCTACCTTTCGACTCTATTAATAGTTTTTTATCAATCTGCTTTCTTGTGATAGAAGCTGGTGAAATGTACATACACTTTGCAGAACCTCGATCAATTTTTATTTAGGGGAAACTGCAAAAATGTTCGGATTTCTGTGTATGTAAAATGAAACACCTAAAACTTTCATATGTAAAATTATTTCTAAAATAATTACAAACTTGTAATATATGAATTGTTTATATAAAAGTATACATTTGGAAATATTCACTTTAAATATTTTTTTGTATGAATTTCAAAATTTTTAGATCTTTAAACTAGATGAAAGAAATAATATTAAATTCAGTGTTTAGTTTAATGTTCATATAACTATGCGATTTTATAAAATATTTAAACAAAGAAAAATAATATGCAAATATATTAATATTTAAAACTTGCAAAATGAAAATAATACTAACTTCAATTTCCATTAGGTAATTAATAATAGAATAATTATTGCAAAATTTATGTTACGTCTGATTTTGAAATTAGAAATCAACAAATGGTAGAATTAAATATAAGTATTCAATAGACAAAATTTCTCAAATGCAAAATACGAGTTCGATTGTTGTAAAGTAAATAACTAATTAATTAATTAACTAATAATGAATAGATTACTATGTAACTAATTAATTAACAATTAGTAAATAACTAATTAACTAATACAATGTAAGTACATAATATCAAAATATAACAACTAATATAATATAATAGTATCACAATCATTAATCAATCAAATTATTCAGTCTTTTAAAATTAAAATTAATAAACTTAATCACTTATTGGTACATAATTTTATTTTACAAATTTAAATGTTTAATATTTACAATCATTAACGAAAGTATTCGAACATTTGCATCTCAAACTGGTAACAAATGAAACACACACGTAAAACTCACATTTGAAAATAATATTCGAGCTTGATAATGCACGAGTGAAGTTAAATAAAATTACAACGACATATAAGTACAATAAAAATAAATTCAAAAAATTGAATATGAACCTACCTGGAAGGTTAGGAAAATATTTTATAATGTATGTTCTTTTTGAATTAGTTTATATTAATATTTAGCTGAATCACTATACATAGATGTTGGTTATATGGTCAATAGTGAATCAGGATTTCGTCTTACGTAAGTACATTGTTAGGCATGATAGAATTCCCTAGGGAAAATGGCGACATCACTTATAAAGAAATGAGTCATCACTATTTTTTGTTGATAGGTTTATAACATTACAAAGTTCCAGAAATTAAACTTTAGAAATTTGAGGAATTGGAGTTCTTGGAAATTTTTAAATTGGGAGATTTGGACTGTAGAAAATTTGAAAATTTAGGAATTAGGGAATTTAAAAACTTGGGACTTTCAGAATTTGGAAATTTGAAAATTTATGATTTTCCGGATTAGGTAAAAATTTCAAATTTTTAGAACTTGGGGATTTGAAAATTTTGAAATTTGTAAACTTGAGAATTGAAGATTTGGAAATATAAAAACGTAGAAATTTGATAATATGAGAACAAAGAAGTTTCGAAATCTGAAAACTTGAGGACATAGAAATAAAAAGTTTGGAAATTGATGAGTTTGCAAATCTGAAAATTTGTAAAGTCAGTAACTGAAACATTCGTAAAATCGTTCCCATTAAATATTCTATCAATGCTACAATTGTAATTTTGTCTAGTTATATCCATACATATTTCAGTCTTACATCTTCTTGTATTATTCTAAAAATATGAGCATGTGTGTATTTCATTTATAACTATCATAGATGCGAGCATTCGAATACTTTTGTAAACAATTGTGCAATCATTTAAGCACCTCATTCTACACACAATTAAACGCATCAAACTATCTTACAATTAGTACTACACTAGGAAATTCTTTAGACAATTTATAAACGTCTTGTTATATTTCCAAACAGACCAAATGATTTCAAGTCAGTTCACCAGCTTCAAAATAACTTTTCACAGAAAACAAAAAAAAAAGAACTAGTAAACGTTAAATCATGTGTGTTCATCAGACAAGAAGATCAGCTAAAAGAGATTCTAGTTAAAAATCAGTTTCATTAGCACTTTCGTGAAACACATTCCACATTGGTTTCCGTCGCTCGGTGCATCGTGCAATCCGTAATCGACACAACAAAATAAATGAAAAAATAGGTAATTATGCAAAATAACCTCTACAAATTCAATACTCTTGAAATAAGTAGTCAAGGTCATTATTTTGAAACTTTTCTTACACATATAATA